TCCTTTCAGTTTTAGGATTCAACTGGGTGATGCCAGAGAGTACTAAAGATGCTTATAGTAGCTCGAGTCGATGGAAAGTTGGTAAATCCATCAGCAAGATCTGGAAAATGATTCCTGGTTGTATTTTTTGGGCTATTTGGACAGAAAGGAATAGAAGATGTTTTGAGGGTTTAGCAACTCCTAATTACTCCTTGAAAGCTAATTGTATAGTTTTGTTATATAGCTGGAGTAACCTCTCCCCTATTAGCTCCCCCGAATTATTTTTGGATTTTGTTAGCTCCCTAACACTAGCATAGGACCATCTGTACAGAGCTAACATATCATCTTTTGTATTAGAACCTGGACAGTGCTCTTTTGCATCTTCTTGATGCTTTTTATAATATCTCTTACTTCATCAAAAAAAACAACAACAATAGAACTTATGATGATTTTGCTCGTGTAAGTGTAAACATAATTGGTCATTTTTGTCTTCTCACTCTTATAACGTAGTGCTATTTCTATCGCAGTTCTTTCCCAAGAATGAGAAATATGTATCCTTGTTTTCGGGTGGTGACGAGCAAGATATAGTTGACAAAAGAAGTAAATTGCGGGAGCAAATCAAAGCCAGTATAGTTGCTGCTGCCGCAAGTGGGAAAGATTTGGAAGGTACTCTGTTGTTTCGATCTGTAGTTCACATTAGTTTTGACTGGCTCTGCATAGAGTTCCTTCTGTTTTAAAGATACTTATTGCAACACCTGGTACGGTCAAAATCTGTAACTAATAAATGCTACAATGGAGAATATCTGTGAGCTGATTTTATCTTATCTTAGCTTCTAAGTGATCAAACCTCATGTCCTCATCAAAACTAAATGATTCCTTCTTTTTTTTCAGATAAAAAAATGACTAAATGAATCTTTCTTTTTTCTCGTTTTAAGCATTTTAAATTTTTATTTCTGCAAGACTATCAGATTTATGAAACATGTGAGCAGGAGCCTTAAATTACTTGTGTAGGGGGAAACAAATTCTTATAGTAAAGGTGTACTTCAGCTGATGGTTATGTAGAGTTATTTTGTTACAGGTATTTAATCAAATACTTTTGTCCATGACTCTGATTGATGAATTGCGAACAAAATCTTGGTTAACTTCAGAGAAATATGTAGGCATAATTTTTGGAAGTAACATGTAGCAACATTAAATCCTTGGATTAAGAACTTGATTTTAAGAAGCTCCCGTGATCTAGCAAATTTGATCCTTCTCAAAACAAAAAAGCAAAAAATATTTAGCAAATTCGAGAGGGGGAGATGGACTTTGTATCAGAAGCTGCAACATAGTGACCTTCAGTCGGCTTTAGTAGATGGAGAAATGGCATCTAGGTGCAGGAATAAAGTATCCTTATTGTGCTCTATATTTAAAGATAGTCTTTTAGACGGAACTTCAGTTGCTCTTCACATTGGTGTTCATGTTAATTTCAAATTCAGTATTGGCTTTGTTGTTTCCACCGACTCGAACTGACCCCTCTGCTTGGTCTTTCCTAACAGAAACAGGGAGCGAAGATGATGGGCTTCTGGATTTAAGCAGCGATGACTTCTTTGAAAGTGGAAGCTCAAGTGATGATGCTGATGACGAGTTGACTGATAAAAGTGCAAGGTATTGATTTGTCCTTAAAATCTACTATTTGCTATTCACTTCATGCTTGCAGAACTTAGTAATTATTCTGTGTTGAGTCGAAGATTTATTTGGGGAGCTGGACTGAAGTCTATGATGTGTGCAAGGGGATTACAACATTATATCAAGGGTCATGAATTATCTCGTAATGTTATTTTTGATGAATAATTAGTGTTAGAGTGTAAACATAGAATGAGCTTGTCAGTGAAGTTAGTACTAGTTAAGTTCCAACTCAAAGCTGGTGTATCCATCCTCTTCTAGAACTCAATGGAATGAAGTAGGGAAACAAAAAAACAATCTTCTCCAAAGACTCAATGAAAGGGAGTAGGGAGATGGAACAATAGAAGGTGCAAGATTCACATTGAGTCCATTTGTCAAAACTTCGTTCTAGATTCTTTATTTTCTTAGAACCAACAAACAGCAGCAACTACGCCTGAATCCCCGACTAGTTAGGTCCACCTCCCACTTCTTAAAAGAGGACAAAATTAGCGTTCCCTTTGGGGTCTCTAGAAGGTGATTAATGCACACGTAATGATCGATTTGCATGAAGCCTAGTATGGAACTTTTTTTAAGCCCTTTTTCTTGTTGGTCATTATAGGGAGAACTCTAATGCTTTTTATTGCAGAGAACAAGCTTCTAGTACATCAGTGAAAGCAGCTTCTAGCATGTCCAGCGATGAAAAAAATCAGGTCTCAAGTGAAATTGTCTACTTTTGCTCTTAACATTGACTTTGGAATTTAATATTAATGTAGTTTCTTTTTGAAATGGTGTATGCAGAGGCAAATATCTGCCCGTGCTCTAATGCCACCACCTCGTCCTTCGAGCAAGTCATTTAGTCATTCAGTAAATAAAAAATCACGGTTTGGAGGATCTACAAGTAAGAAATCATCTTTTCGTGATATGTCAACCTCCAGCAACACATCAGACAGCATTGATCGATCTGCCTTCAGAAAAGGAAGACCTGCAGATTCACTCACAGGCAACAGTGGCAATATCAGCTCTAGCTCTGATGCTCGAAAACCCCGAAGAAAGAGAAGACCAAAGAAGAAAAAACAACAGGTTGTTACTTTTGAATCCAATGTGGCTTTTCCTTCCTGATTATCGTTATGCATACTCAATTTCAAGCACACTTGGCCAACTCATTAGTTAACTATATCCTACTTTGTCCTTGTGACACCTAACATGCTGGAGACGCCCCAAAAACATGAGACTAAAAAGTGAACAATAAGTTGAAGTCTTCAATGTTGGTAAAATTTTGAGAATAATCCTGCTCAATTTATGTTGGATTCTAAACATGAACGCGCACACAGAGTCAGAGGTGGTGAACTTGTTTACAGCACATATTATTCAAGTTGTTGAACTTTTGTATTTCAGTGTTGTGGAAGTATATTTTGCCCCATGCTCTTGTGTCCTCGTACCTTTAAATAAAGGTCTATATCTTTCTGTGTTGGTGCTAATAATGCCATTCCTAGGCCTTGCTGTTTTTGACCTTTCGTGCATTAAGGTCAGTTTCTTGAGGAATGAATTATTTCATGCTATGCTGTTCTTCTCTGTTAGTAAAGTCCTGTGTGGCTTTACCCTTAAAAAAGGTATAATGGAAGAAGCACCTGTCAAATGCGTTTCCTTTCCTCTTTTCTCCTCGTGTCAAATGCCTCTTTTTATTGTTGAAATAATAGATATTAATAATATATCTATATAGGTGGGTTCAAATTAGACTCTCTGGGCCTGTTTGGTACGAGAGATAAGGGATAATTAATCCCGAGATCAAATTTGAGATGAGTTTATCCCACGTTTGATTGGAGTAAAATCGCGGACTAGTTATCCTGGGATTGTAGTGCCATAGGGTGGGATAACTAATCCCGGGATAATTAATCATGGGATAACTTGTTTCCCAATCAAACGACCCCTTTGTGGTATTCTCTGTTACTTGGTAGGTCTTGTCCGGGGTTTACTTCTACATAGAATTGCCAGATAAATATATAGAAATTTATTAAGTGCATCTTAGCCTAGTTCTTTAATACTGCTGTACATAAGTTTACCACCTTCAGTACAAAATGCAGTTCTTAGACTGTATCTACCATCTTTAAACACTCCTTTGACTTATGTTTCAGTTTTTATTCATAACTAACTGGTTGCTTGTTTTCAAACTTTCAGGCTTGAATCAAGTTCGTATAGTTGCCAATATAATGTTGCAGCTTGTTTGTACCAGAGTTTAGTTCTGAGGACAATTGAAATGTCTCTGTATTTCAAGAATTAGATAGAAAATTTGCTGAGGCTACGGGTGTGTTTGGTATAACGGAAAATGTTTTCCAAGAAAATATTTTCTTGGAAAACAAGTATTAATCTTATTCATTTTTCGGTGTTTGGTATGCAAATTAAGGAAAATAACTTGTCAAGAGTATTCATAAATAATTTAGATACAATAAATATGAAACCATAAACTTTCGAACCAATAACCTTCAGAACCCACAAATTTCATAAACTTCTGAACCGTTAATCATTCGAAACTGCGAACTTTCGAACCCGTAAACTTCCAAACACATAAACCTCTAAACTCATACTATGAAACTTTGTAAAATTTTGAACCTGTAAACCGAAAGATGAAAAAAATTAAACTGAAAATATATTTTTAAAAAAATAGTATTTTTTTTCGGGGGGGG